TGAATTGAAAAGGCCAGACTGACACCCAGCCCCCACTCTGATCTGCACTTCACACATTCACCTACCACCCCTGCAACCCCCCTCCCTCCCTCCCCCACCATTCAACCTGTGCTTAAGGTCTGTGTAGAGGATGTGAACCGGGTCTTCAGGAAGCAGAAATCTAGAAAAGCTTCAGGCCCAGATGGTGTTTCACCTGCCTGTTTAAAAGTCTGCGCTGACCAACTGGCCCCCATCTTCACACAGATCTTCAACAGATCATTGGAGCGGTGTGAAGTTCCCTGCTGCTTCAAACGCTCCACCAACATTCCGGTCCCCAAAAAGCCCAAAATCACTGGACTTAAGGACTACAGACCTGTCTCTCTCACGTCTGTGGTCATGAAGTCACTTGAGAGACTGGTCCTGGCCTACCTGAAGGACATCACTAGACCCTTGCTGGATCCTCTTCAGTTTGCCTACAGAGCAAACAGGTCTGTGGATGATGCAGTCAACATGGGACTGCATTACATCCTGCAACACCTCGACAGACCTGGGAATTACGCAAGGATCCTAGTTGTGGACTTCAGTTCGGTCTTCAATACCATCATGCCTGACCTTCTATCAGACAAACTCACCCAGCTCTCCGTGCCCACCTCCATCTGTCAGTGGATCACCAGCTTCCTGACAGACAGGCAGCAGCTAGTGAGGCTGGGCAAACTCACATCCAGGACTATCACCATCAGCACTAGCGCCCCCCAGGGTTGCGTTCTCTCCCCACTGCTCTGCTCTCTCTACACGAATGACTGCACTTCAAAGGACTCCTCTGGCAAGCTCCTAAAGTTCGCAGACGACACTACAGTCACCGGCCTCATCAAGGAAGGAGACGAGTCTGCTTACAGACAGGACAGGAGAAAGAGCTGGCTGTCTGGTGCAGTCTTAACAACCTTGAGCTTAACATGCTCAAAACTGTGGAGATGATCCTGGACTTCAGGAGAAAACCCCCTGCACTCCCCCCACTCACCATCATGGACAGCACTGTGACTGCAGTGGAGTCATTCAGGTTCCTGGGCACACTTTGTGAATTCGCAAGCCACGGTGAGGAAGTATTTGTTACCCCGTATTGACCATGGCAGGGGTCCTACCCAATCTATTTGGAGGTTGAATTCTGCTGGTGAGTTGGCATAGCCAAAGGGGCACCGTGTGAAGGTGTATTGTCGATTCCCAAAGGTGAACGCCAGCTTGTGTTGGTCATCAGGGTGGACAAGGATTGTCCAAAATTCTGAGGCGACGTCCAGCGTGGAAAGGATCGTTGAGGCTTTGATTTTGGGACTCTCTTGGTCCAACTGAGTCATAGGCCATCGCGATAAGGGTACTTGCTGGTTTAATTTGCGATAGTCAATGGTGGGCCGCCATTTGCCATTGGGCTTTAGAACTGGCCATATCAGGGCAGAGTATGTGCCCAACATGGAGTCTGTAATTTCTTGCACTGGCTCATATGATGCTATTGGAATCTTGTACTGTTGCACAAATGTGGGTGGCGCATTTGGGCTTGTCGGGATGTGCACCGTGTGGATGTTGGTCAGGCCACAGTCCAGGGAATCCTTTGTGAATGAGTCTTTGTACTTGTACAGAAACTCTTTGAGTCCTTGGCGATCTGCTTCCTTGTGGAGGGCATCCGCCTTACTCAGGATCTGTTGGATTTGTGCATTGAACCCGGCGTAGGGTTCCTCCATTGTTGAGTCATTTGAGGGGCTCTGGGACTTGACGGTCATCTGTGCAGGTGCACAGCTTCCAAGGTCAGTCCTAGTCTTAGGCAGGTCCTGGA